TACATTAAAGCTAAATAGCTTAACGATCAAAGTGTTTAGAATTTAAAATCCTAACTACAAGAAAAATTTAAATTTATAAGCGATAAGTTTGGAGCTTTTCAATAAAAATTTCAAAACACATTGAAATTCAAAAATGTTGAATACAATTTTTTCATATAAATCTGTTTGAAGTTAATAATAAATATAATATTTTGGCGCTTAGACATTTGCTAAGCGTATTGATGTTGTTATACAAAGTGGAGGGCACCAACAGTTTTAAGCTGCTTCCGAACACCAAACGGATTTTTATGAGAAGATTTTTCATGGCAAGTGCTATAGCGGCCGCTCCAATAAAATCTCTACAAATTTTGCAATAAAGCCCATTCAAGCTTATAAAGCTATTATGGCTCATAAATTAAAAAAAAAAAAACATACGTGAAATGTCTACATTCGCAACTTATAAAATAAGCTGAACGGCATTTTTTCCTTTTTAGAAAAATCAATGACTTGATAAAGCGTCTCAAAGCTCGTGTATATAAAAGTGGAACCCCTTTCAAATTAAAAACAAATGATTAACTGCAAAGTCGTATGAAAGCATTAATTATCAAAAAAGGTCAAAAGCACAAACGTTATTACCAATAAAATATTTTTAAATTATATGCCAATACCTTTTCAAAATCTATGCTATAAACTGTACATTAAGTTTAATATTACACCTAAAACCAATCAGAGCTTAAATTTATTAACATTTTTTTTTTTAACAAAGTTTACTCAAAACATTTCAAACAACACCTTCAAAGCTCCCTTAGAGATAGACAATAAAACATTTGTTTTAACGGCGCTCTAATCTTTAAAAGAAAAGTTTTCCATTAGTCATGAACTGACTATAAAAGGAAAATATTCGTGATAAATTTGATAGAAAAGCATTATAGCTTAAAAAGCTTTTAAAAACTATATGTATAAATAAAATTAAACATAAAATTTAAATATTAAGCTACCTGGCTTCGTTTCCACTTAAAACCATTACTTTGCAGCACTTTTGCGTGATGTTGGCTCTTAAAGCTGCGGACAGTTTTTAAAAATTAATAAGCGAATACATTTAAATATTAACCTGAATGTTGCTTCCTTTCAATTCAGATCTTTAAAGCTATATCTTTTATGCGAGTTTGAAAAGGCTTCACAGCTTAATGATAGCTTATAAACATAAAAAATGTTCTTATTCCAGTGGACGCTTTTATTTTCATAAGATGGCGAAGATCTAAAGTATCGGGCTCCTTTTCAATTCAAAAACAATATTTCTAAAGTCCTATTTTTCCACTGGCATGAATAGCTTATGTAGAACTTTTAAAAATAAATAAAAGAAACTAGAATTTGCATCAAAATGCATGCGGCTCTCAGCTCTAAATAATTGAAAAAGTTTTTAAACTGCATGATTTTGATGATGCATGATTTTAAACCTCACAATTATTTTCTACAGCGTAAGCGCCTCAAAATATGCAACACTTACATACACAAGCAAACAGAAAACAGTGTATGTGTGTATGCTTGCAGATTAGTAAGCAAAAAATGCAAGTTGTAAAAAATATTTTGTGACTTCGTTGAAATTTTATAATTTTTTTTATTTTTTTTTTAGAGATCAAGAAGTGAACGTACTTTTGTTTTTGGATTGGCTGTTTGGGGTTCTGTCTGCTTGTCGTTCGGTTGATTCAGCACGCATTTTGCATTTGTATAAAACTACCTTTTATTATTTAGTACTCGTTCCGCTCCTAATGCAGCATCAGAACACTAATCAACCCAGCAGTTAATCCTTACATTTTAAAGTTTAAATTTAAGTATGTTTTCTGTTTTGCTTTTGTTTTTGTTTTTGTTTTAATTCCACTTTCGCACGAATGTTATTAGCAAATATATATGTATGTATGTTTGCATTTTTTGAATGTATGTATGTATGTATGTATAAGTTAAACGTATATGCATTTGTATGCAGTGAAGTGTTTGTTGTAATGTTATCTACAAAATACCAATGCCCATTATGCACATAATTAGCGACGATGCGGCTGATGACGATGAGAATGGTGTTGGTTTGTTGGTTGGCGACGAACGGTTGACTTGGATCTTGAGGCTATTATCTCTTACTGACACTGTCTGCTTCCTTCCAAATGCCTGCTTGACCTCCATTTCTACTTGCGCTACAGTCTTCGCCTCGATACACGTGTGTAGCTGTGTGTGTGCGTTTGAGTGTCCTTAATAGCAACGCATTTCTCTTCCTCTTTCTATTTCAACTTAAACATAGTGCTGTGTCTGTCCTGATCCGCCTACACCGGCGCCACCACCGCCGCCACCAGTACCACTGCCGCCATATGCTCCTGCCATAACTGCTGTTGTTGAACCTGAGGAAGCTGTTGATGATGAAGATGATGCTAAGCTGCCCTGCTCCCGAGGCACTGCCGGTCATCGCCTATCATCTGCGGAATCATCAGCGTTGGATGTGAGAGTTAGTAGTTGATGGGCGGTTAGTCGATTAGTTTTAAAAATTTTTATTATTTTTTTTGTTTTTGTAATCAAAACATTTTTGAGTGTTGCATTTTTTATGTCAAATGGAAGAAGAGAAAAATTTCGCAAAAGTTAGTATATGTTTTCTGTAAGAAATCTCTGGTTAATTTATTACTTTTTCATGCAAATGGCATAGAAACTGAACGAATCTCAATTAAAACGAAAGATTGACTGCATATCAAAAATTAAAATAAAAAACATATTTCCTAAAAAGCTACAAAGTCAAATTTTAAAGCGAAAAATATTACAGACAAATTGCGAAGACTGCAAAAAATACCAAAGTGAACTACTTCCGATACTAAGTTAGATAAAACGATTATTAATGCCCCTATTACGGTTTACAACTCAACTCCACTTCAGTTGAAAACTTACTAATATATATATTTTTTTTCTATTCATTGATTGACTGGTACTTTTCAAAGACTGCAAAATCATCTCCAAATACCATTTTAAAAATCTAAAAACCTTAGTCGAGAGTTAAAAAATGTGTTAAATTAAAATAACAGTAGCCTTTAAAAAAAAACTTGTGTCCCGAAGTTCAATTTTCCAACGCCAAAACACTAAAAATCAACTTTGATGTCGCAGGGTTTCTCACAAATGCGTTTAAAACTGAAATTTTGAAAATTTATGTTGTTAACAAGTGTGTCAGAAATACTTGCCGCTTTGGAGAAAAAAGCCTGGAAATGTAGAAAAAGCCTTAGATATATAATAAAAAAATCGTAAAGAAAATTTTTACATACTTTATTCAAGGCCCAAAAATTGTATTGTACAAAAACCTACAATAGGAAATAAGTTCATTTTAATGCTATTAACTTTTGACTGTCCAAAAAAACTCTTATAGCCGATTTGGAAATGTTTAAATATTTTTTTTTTAAATTTTCGGCACAATTTTTCGCCGGCTAAAAAATTTTCCCACATCCAATTTTTATCGCTAACAATTGTTAATTGATTTTTTCATACAGTCTGTCAGCTGACACTAAATTTTGCTGCTCTTTGAATTTAGCACTAATGGGAAAAAAATATGTCTTGAGCCACCTTTGGTACCAGTTTTCGACGGTACCAACTTTTTCCGGGTATAATTCATTCAAGTACTTTTCGGGACAAATTTATCAGGTGTTTTAAATACTTTCAGCTCGCAAAACTCATACTAAAAATCTTAAAACAAAAGAACAATTTTCGAGTGGTCCAAAAATTTTCTACTCCAAATTCCCATAAAAAAAAAACGATGACATAATTTTTCGACCGTTTAAAAAAATATAATAGTGTCCTAAAATAAAATATTTGCAAAGTTTCCGTAAAGCATTTTTCAGCTGATTAACCTTACATAATAGGGTAAAACCTTATATTGTGTATGCAGGCCAAAATGTAACTGCTGTCCCAAAATTTTTGCAACTTTCGATTTTTTTGGTACAGTCTTAATTTTTTTCGCTAACCTTATAATCAATTGTTTGTAGTGATTTTTGCGAAACATAATTAGTAGAGACAAATTTTATAAGTCTTAATAAATAAAGCAAGGTAGAACCGCCGAAAGATACTTTTAGCATTTTTGCCTTTTGCAAACAATATAGCAATTTTAAAATTTAGAGCCCCACCAGCCCCATGACTGTGAGGTTGTCGTTGCTTCTCTCTCTCTATCAGCAGCAATTTGATATTTTGATACGGACGGCAACTATGGAAGGGCGCTCCGTCGGTGGAAACTTAAGAAAAAACATGACTTACGAATTGAGAGAACGGTTCAACCTTATTATGTTTTTATGATGCACGCCAACATTGAAAAAAGAACTTTTTGGAGCTCGACTTTTGTATGACAATGTGCGCTCACAAGCCACAATTTGTATTTATTTGTACTTTCGTATTTTTTACAAAAATTAGTTATTTTAACTCACAAGCAAATGAATTATGTAAATATGGTAATAAATTATAAGCGAAAATAAATAAATCATAAATAACATTGATGTTAATACTCTAAAACTGCAGGCGTGAGTATAGGTTTGTACGTAGGCATGTCGCTGTTATATACCAGAACCGAATGTACACGCAAAAAAAACCTGCACAAACATTTAAGCTAGGTACACAGGGCACATATATATGCATACATATCGAGTGTCAGATCTTATAAATTAAAATTTTTGAAATTACACTGAAAAATCACACGCCCAAGTACGGTACGAGTGCCTAGCTTTACAAAACTACGGCTAAGAACACAAGATAAATGTTTTTTTTTTAATTTTCATAGCATTTTATTGCTAACTCATCACTTAAATTATTGTTCGAATATACATACATATATAAATAAATAAATTCTACATTTGAAATCAAATGTATTATCAATGCAAAGTGAATATGGAAAAATACAAAATCTTAAAACGTCACTTTTCTAAAAGTGGTTGTGTGGGTGAATGTGTATGGCAAGTGCATGTGAGTAATTTGATTTCTTTTTTAATAAAATCTGTAGCGTTTTATCGACTCACCGTGCGATTGTGGCTCTGGATGTTGCAACGCACCGCCTGACACCAACTGTTGCTGTTGTGCCTGTTGCTGACTCTGTTGTTGATTACCTACTACCATCGCCACCGACGATGATGTCGAACTAACCGACGGTGATGATATTGCTATGCTCGCTGCTGTATTCGTACCCTCATCGGTTGTACGCTTAAAGAAATTATGTTGCAAGGCATAGTATGGTGTGACACGTGTCTTCGGATCGAAATCCAACATTCGCAGTATTAAGTCTTTGAATTTCAAATAATCCGCCACCGAATGTCCTGGCTCATCTAAACGTCGTCCACCTGGTCCACCAGTTTCGACACCGAGTATATCGTGTAGTTTACGTGAACCCGGCGGTTTGTATTTACGTCCATTTTGGCTCTTCTTTAATACATAAGAACCGTCCGAGACGATTTTGTCGAAGAATTTGCGCGTCTTGTGCGCCTGATCGAGCAGATATTTCGGCGGCATGCCGAGCACCTCGACGATTTTGTTCATTTGATCGACTTCGTTGCAGCCGGAGAAGAGCGGCTCGCCGGTGTGCATCTCCACTAGAATGCAGCCGAGCGACCACATATCGATCGCCAAATCATAGGGGATGCCGAGTAGCACTTCCGGCGAACGATAGAAACGTGATTGAATGTATTGATATATCTGAATGTACGGAGAGAGAGAAATAAAGGAAAAGAACGGATATATTAAAAGGTGAATCAAAAAGTAAACAAAGTAAATACATTTTTCCGATCACTAGATCTGGGGTTTTGTGGAAAAAAGGTTTGATTTTCCTGGAATTCCAAAATGTAAAAAAATACAAACCATCGGGCTCTTTTATTTCTACGGTATTGAAGATTGAAATGTTCAGCTTACGCAATCTTACTTGAAACTAGCATCAAGGCGTGGTTGCGAAATTTTTGATAGTTTCATCTTTTTTGGTTCAGAAATGGAAAATACTGATGCTTTTAATTTTTATATTTAGGAATTCAGGGTTTATGTCTAAATTTTTAACCACAAAACCCGTATGCCCATATCCATTTGCTTTATTTTTCTTATACTCACTCTTTGCCCCAGTTGACATGAACTGCCGAAATCGACAATTTTAATTGCTGAACGCTTCGGATTACAAAGTAATATATTCTCGGGCTTTAGATCACAGTGGATTATATTCAGTTCTGGTGTACTCAAAAAGAGTAGTGCAGTGCAAAGCTGTTGGGCAAATTTACGCGTTAGATTCAATGAAACACCGCGAAAATTCGTATTTCGCAGAAGATCGTATAAATTGTAGGAGAGCAATTCGAAAACTAAACATAAATGATTGCGCCACATGAAATGCCGTTTTAATTTCACTGTAAAAAGTAAAGGGAATAAATGGTTTGATAGGAGGATTAATAACGTGAAGAGACAAAATGCAAACTCACCAATATAATATTTGTTCTCGGCGTCTGCACGATTCATCATTTCTAGCAATTTAACTTCGATTTGTGCCTGATTTAGGAACGGTTTCTTATTCTTAATTATCTTTATCGCTACATGACATTGCTCTTCATGATCGTATGCCTTGACCACTTGCCCGAAACTGCCTTTGCCTGTGTTGAAGTGAAAGAAGAAAACAAAATATTTAGTTTGTGTGTTAACCTTTTAAGAGCAAGTTACAATATCGTACCAATTAGGGAATCAATTTCATAACGATCCAAGAATTTTTCGCCATTCTTAATTATATAATCGTGATTATCATCATCGTAACCGTCGTTATATAATTTACGCTCCTTCTTATTCGACGAATCATCCTCGCCTTGAGTCTGTTGGGCGCGTCGCTTCTTTTTCGCATAATATACCTGTGTAGATGAAATTTATCGTTTGTTTTATTGAACAATTTTGGTAAACAGGAGAAAATTAAAATTTTTTTAATTTCAAAACTGATTTCTTTGGGTAACACAATTTCGCCAAAAGCGAAATTATTTCGGGGTTCCGATAAAATAAATAAACTTTTAGTAAATATATAATTAATTTCGGTTTATCTAAAAAAAAAATTGTGCTACACTTCTAAATTATCTTACAACACAAGTTCGCCAAAAGCGCAATTGTTTCGGGGTTCCAATAAAATTGATAAACTTTTAGTAAATATATAATAAATTTCGGTTTATCTAAAAAAATTGTGCTACACTTTTAAATTATCTTACAACTTTAGTTAGAGTATTCTCAAAACCCATAGAAAATAAAAATTTTAAATAAACTAAAAAATTTTGAGCAAACACGACAAGAAAATATGTCAAATAAGATTTTCAAACTTGTAAACACTCATATACAGACGTGGGAAGTAGCAGTTTCCAGGTCACAAAAATAAATTTAAAAAAAAAAAAACGTTCAAGATAAATACATACTAGAATTATTTATTTTTTTGTTTTAATTAATTTTAAATTTGCTACTCAAATGATGATCAAATTCAAAACTTAAAATCTCAATAAAAATTTCGGAAAGGCATTTTTCAAGTTACAGAGTCCGAAAAGGTAGGTGCTTTCTTCAGAAAACTATGCTTTCACCTGTGGAACTTTTCAAGATGAAAGTCTGAAAAAGTCAGGGCTTTCACCAACTTATCATTCACCAGAGCTTTTATGCACACAGAGCTCCATCTAAGTGACTTTCGAGCAAAACAGACAACAAAAAAAAGAGAATATGAAAGATCGTTCGCGTGCTCGCTAGCTTTTGAGCTAGTAAAAATTCGGAGTAAGCTGAGTAAGAAGGGAAAAGCTCAAACATGCTATAAATTATTATTATATGTAATGTGTGCATAGGATCATGAATTAAAAAGTTTTTTCAGAATCAATGAAGTTTGAGCGCTCCTGAACTTTCGAGATTTGAAAAAGAAATCAATGTTCCATCTACCTTGCCATTCATTAGCATTTAAACTTTCGTTCCTAAAAAGCTTTGATAGTTTCGAATGATCTCATTCTGGTTGTTGGTGTCTCCGACAGGGTATGATGTGTTGTAGAATGATTTTCCTTAATCCCTTGTCAAATTTGGTTCGGAGAAACACCGGTTTCGGCGTTGTGCCATCTTCACTGCAAATTTTTTGTTCTCATTACGTTGTACTAACTGTACTAGGCTCAAGGAAATTTGAGTTTTCCTTAGCTTTCGAGCCTTTATCTTGGAATATGCTTGGAACCTTTTGAATGAAATTTTACTAGAATTTCAACTTTCTATAGCTAGCGATGATTTCATTAAAAAATTAAAAATGTTGACTCGAAAGTTTTATGAACTACCAAAAGTATGCTGTCCCTGAAATCTGTGTTTTT